ATTTGCAAAAAGGTAGTTATGATGTAAATATGAGCTATTAGATATGCCCGTATCATTTACACACATATAAATGATTTCTCTTGCAGTCGTGCATGCTTAAGACTGATTCAAAAGTGGGATATAAGCATGATAATGAATGGATTAGCTTGCGATAGAGGATTTTAAACATTTTCTATAGTAACACACATGTTGGTATTGGTCATTTACAGGGACTCTCCATAGGTGTAATGTATTTTATACAGTAAAAACCTTTAATATGGCATCCCCAACCTTACCCCTAAATTAACCCTCACAGGGATCCTGACGCAAAATTAGAAAGTAAAAAGACTCTTTTAGGTATGATTTTTAAGTAATTTAAATAACAAAGACATCATTTATGTCCTCATAAACCACCTTAATAAAACAACTAGGTAATGCCCATGTCATTATACAAAAATCTGTCCTTGTAAACCACCAAAACACACACATAAAAGCACAAAGCTAAACATTCAACCTAATATACTAAGAAATATTTAAAAAATGTTGCAATATGCTCAAGAACATTTGCAAAAAGGTAGTTATGATGTAAATATGAGCTATTAGATATGCCCGTGTCATTTACACACATATAAATGATTTCTCTTGCAGTCGTGCATGCTTAAGACTGATTCAAAAGTGGGATATAAGCATGATAATGAATGGATTAGCTTGCGATAGAGGATTTTAAACATTTTCTATAGTAACACACATGTTGGTATTGGTCATTTACAGGGACTCTCCATAGGTGTAATGTATTTTATACAGTAAAAACCTCTAATATGGCCTCCCCAGCTTTACCCCTAAATTAACCCTCACAGGAAACATGAGGCAAAATTTGAAAGTAAAAAGACTCTTTTAAGTAAGATTTTAATTCTTTTAAATCACAAAGACATCAGGCATGTCCTCATAAACCACCTTAATAGTACAACTAGGTAATGCCCATGTCATTATACAAAAAACTGTGTAAACCACCAAAACACACACATAAAAGCACAAAAGCTAAACATTCTACCTAATATACTAAGAAATATTAAAAAAAAATGTTGCAATATGCTCAAGAACATTTGCAAAAAGGTAGTTATGATGTAAATATGAGCTATTAGATATGCCCGTGTCATTTACACACATATAAATGATTTCTCTTGCAGTCGTGCATGCTTAAGACTGATTCAAAAGTGGGATATAAGCATGATAATGAATGGATTGGCTTGCGATAGAGGATTTTAAACATTTTCTATAGTAACACACATGTTGGTATTGGTCATTTACAGGGACTCTCCATAGGTGTAATGTATTTTATACAGTAAAAACCTCTAATATGGCCTCCCCAGCTTTACCCCTAAACCAACCCTCACAGGAAACATGAGGCAAAATTTGAAAGTAAAAAGACTCTTTTAAGTAAGATTTTAATTCTTTTAAATCACAAAGACATCAGGCATGTCCTCATAAACCACCTTAATAGTACAACTAGGTAATGCCCACGTCATTATACAAAAAACTGTGTAAACCACCAAAACACACACATAAAAGCACAAAAGCTAAACATTCTACCTAATATACTAAGAAATATTTAAAAAAATGTTGCAATATGCTCAAGAACATTTGCAAAAAGGTAGTTATGATGTAAATATGAGCTATTAGATATGCCCGTATCATTTACACACATATAAATGATTTCTCTTGCAGTCGTGCATGCTTAAGACTGATTCAAAAGTGGGATATAAGCATGATAATGAATGGATTGGCTTGCGATAGAGGATTTTAAACATTTTCTATAGTAACACACATGTTGGTATTGGTCATTTACAGGGACTCTCCATAGGTGTAATGTATTTTATACAGTAAAAACCTCTAATATGGCCTCCCCAACCTTACCCCTAAACCAACTCTCACAGGAAACAAGAGGCAAAATTTGAAAGTAAAAAGACTCTTTTAAGTAAGATTTTAATTCTTTTAAATCACAAAGACATCAGGCATGTCCTCATAAACCACCTTAATAGTACTAGAACAAGGTAATGCCCATGTCATTATACAAAAAACTGTGTAAACCACTAAAACACACACATAAAAGCACAAAGCTAAACATTCTAACATACCAATGATTATTTTTAGAAATATTGCAATTTGCTCAAAATCACTCTTGCAGTCATTCATGCTTGAGACTGCTTCAAAAGTGGGATATAAGCAGGACAATCAATGCACACTAACACAAATAGAAGCACAAAGCTAAACATTCTATCCAATATACTAAAATGTATTTACAGAAACGATTAGCTGCTAAACAAACTGAACAAAGACTGAAGCCAGGCATTCTTTAGATGTGGAAAACAAAACAACACACTAACACAGCGTCTTTTTTTTCTGTCAAATGCAGCTTCGACAACTGACGTCAGGTACGACGACTGCTCTGATTCATCATCAACACTGGTGACCCAGCCGAGCGCAGATGCCTCCATGCCATTAATAATGTTCAATTAACAGAGAAAAGCAGCTGAAGGAGAGCTTTGCGAGTGTGTTCGTATGTGAACAGAGAAAAGCATTGGGCTCTGAAACACAACTGGGCGAGCAGCTGTGATCCTCCAAAGTCCTGGACAACATCTGAGCCTCATAAATCCACAGAGATTCATGAACGGCTCGCTTTTGTCACTCTTTCATACACATACAAAGCACAACTGTCCTATGGGTAATCCGTTTTAAGGGTCGTAAAACTCTCGTCTTTCAGTTCAAGTCTACCCTAGAACTTTTTTTTATTTATTTATTTTTAAAAATGCAACATAAATGGGTGTGGAAAGCTGTGTGAAGACAGGGAGTGTGTGTGTGTGATGGGTAAAGCGGAAATTGTCAACTGTCAGTGGCCTATACTGAAATCTGAGGTAAAGCGCAAGAAAGAGAAATGCAAAATGTCTATATTAAAAGAGTGCTCAATTCAAAATACTTTGAAGCAGGTTTTGAGGGTAAATTTAAGACTTTAAATGCTAGTTTCACTTATGGTGCATTCACACCAGACAAGGATGAAGTGTCAAGCCTGATGTCATAATTTGCGCACATGAGGCGGCGTGAATGACACGATTCGCACAAATTAAGCTGTGCAGATTGAGCGTTTGACGTGCCTAATGATAATCGCTTGAATTTGAAATTCAGCGGACATTCGTGCCACGTTAACTAATAACTCGTATGGGCATGATTATGACTTAGCGCCTGTAGTGCATGTCCCGAAGGGAAATCCTCCTTCCAATACTGGACATCAGCTCATTAACCTGGGCTGAAGCACCGCTGAAAGCTTCCATAATCCAGGTATAGTTTCTGGAGGAGTTGATGAACTCACAGCTGGGTGCTCTTCATAAACGATCTAGAGACATAAAATGATCCCTCGGTTCTGGCTCGCATCTCAGCCAGCCTCTCAGACATTTCACACTGGATGAAAGATCATCATCTTCAGCTTAACCTCACGAAAACAGAAATGCTGGAAGTTTCTGCCAACCCGACTCTACATCATAACTTTTCAATCCAGACGGATGGGGCAACCATTACTGGATCCAAAATGGTGAAAAGGCTTGGAGTAACGATTGATGACCAACTAAACTTTTCTGACTACATCTGTAGAACTGCTCGATCTTGCAGATTCGCACTCTATAACATCAGAAAGGTCAGACCCTTCCTACCTCAACATGCAGCTCAACTCCTTGTTCAAGCTCTTGTTCTCTCCAGACTGGACTATTGCAACTCTCTACTAGCCGGGCTTCCAGCTAACTCTTTCAAACCTCTTCAGCTGCTTCAGAACGCAGCAGCACGAGTGGTCTTTAATGAACCTAAAAGAGCACATGTCACTCCGCTGCTCATCCGTTTGCACTGGCTGCCAGTTGCTGCTCGCATCAAATTCAAAGCTCTGATGTTTGCTTACAAAGCGATTTCTGGCTGCGCTTCTTCTTATCTGCTCTCACTTCTGCAGATTTATGTGCCCTCCAGAGACTTGCGTTTTGTAAATGAACGTCAACTTGTGGTTCAATCCCAAAGAGGGAAGAAATCACTTTCCCGAACTCTCGCATTCAATCTGCGATCTTCAATCTTCAGTCACTCGCTTTTTTCAAAAAACAACTAAAAACTCAACTATTTAGTCTCCACTTTCCTTCCTAATCTGCAATTCCCTCATTGACTCCTCCACTAACTATATAAAAAAATTACTAATGTTTTGCTTCTTACACTTTCTTTACATACCTGAAACTTGCCAACAGCACTTGCCTACAGCTTCCTTGTCCTCACTTGTAAGTCGCTTTGGATAAAAGCGTCTGCTAAATGACTAAATTTAAATGTAGTGGACTCGGCACAGAATCTATGAATCTATGCTGTTCTTCAGTCTTCCTAAATCACATAAAGCAAAATACGGAACCAAAATAGCATAAAGTTTTATCATTTGCATGTGTTTTTAAGGCTGGAGCCTTAAATTGAAACATTTTGGGCACAAAAAAATTATGATGTCACAGAATAATTGTGTGTAATTATTTATACAGAATAGAAAACAATTTATGCACAAAAAAATGCTTTTATTGCATATAATTTTTGTCTTGTTTCTAGTCCAAATATCTAGATTTCAAAGCAAAAAGATTTTTTTACTTATTTATTTTTATTTTACTCTACCCTAATGGCAGATCATTTGACTTGTTTTTTGGAAAAACTCTTAGTTTTGAGTTATTTCTTCTGAAGGTGACAATAATAAGATATGCTTACTTGACTTGTTCCGATATGTGGACTAGAAACAAGACAATGCAAAGCAAAAAAAGCATTGTTGGCATTGTTAATAATGAACCTGAATACTGTTAGACTCCCCAGAAAACTGCCAAACAGCTATTCATCCTGTGAAACTGTAGTCATAAAGCAATATTTAAATCACAGAAAAATACAATATTGCAATATTAGATTTTTCCAATATTATGTCCCAGTGTAAATGATTCCCCTTTGTGTGTTGTTCATGTCATATCATTTACCTGGATGAAGAGTCACTCGAACACAGGCCGTCCCTGAAAAACACACACTTTTGATTACTTTCAAGATTTGCAGAAATGTCATCAGAATAAGGGCCTGCCAACACAAACACAGGTATTTAAACAAAAAAGGAAAAGAAAAAACTTTAAACACTGTTTCACTGCTTGCCCACATGAAAATGCAGTATTAAGTGAGTGAAATCAAAACTTTCTGAGAACTCTGGCCTGGGTGAAGATTTTCCAAAACTCTGGGTAAAGTGTGGTCGTGTGGACACTATAACCCAGGGATGCTCAACTCTGTTCCTGGAGATCTACCTTCCTACAAAGTTCAGCTCCAACCCTGATCAAACACACCTGCATCAATTAATTAGGATCTGAACGGCACCTGATAATTACAGGCAGGTGTGTTTGATATTGGTTGCAACTGAAATCTGCAGGAAGGTCGATCTCCAGGAACAGGGTTGAGCACCTCTGCTATAACCAGAGTTTTCACTTCATGATGTCAACATGTGATGATATCTGACATGCCCCGCCCCCTTCAAGACGCTTCACATTTGCTTTTCATTCCACTAAATGCTATTAGCTGCTTTTTTTTTAAGGGGGAGGGGCTACTAACTATATGTCCCACCCTCTACTCGTTTTTCAGTTGCGATTACGTCAAACATCAAATAAAAACTGCCTATTTCAAAGCACTTCATGAGAACTTTAAATGTCCGTCGTACCCATAGACTGTAAAATGTATGGACGTAGTATCCGTGACGTCACCCATAGGTTTCTACAGAGCGCAAAAGAAGCCACAAGTAGGCGCCGCCAACCGTCGCCATTTTGTTCGCGCGTCATCACACCCACGGCGGGATACCAAACAAGGGCAAAGAGGCGGAGAGTGAGCGGAGCTTCAGACACCTGCAGGCATTTTGCTTGGACCTGGTTCAGACACACTTTACTTTGGGAGAACGCTTAATACTTTATCACCTGTGACTCGTTTGTATTCTGACCACTTGTGCTTGGTTGTACACTATATCAATAAAGTGTTTAGACTTTTAAAAACACTGCTGTAATACATTGAGCCACTAAACATTGTTCTTATGACGTTTTTTAACAGGAGGAAAACGCAAATTACTTCCAAACACTTCAGATATAGTCTGTATTAGTTAATGTAAGACTATTGATGAAATCCAGCATAACACTGTATGACAACGCTTCAGATGACTGTTCTAGAGCCTACAGCTAATCAATCTGACAGATTCTGGAGTGCATTACAGCTCTAAATATAAATATAAACGATAAATGATCTTAAATAAAACAAATACATGTATAGAGATGGTATATAAGTATATAACTTTACTCACATGGGAAACGGAGGCCACGTGAATGGTTTGTGAGCACAATTAAGTGCCCTCAGCATGCCATGCCATCTAATAATTGTAGGAAACAAGTCCAAAAGGCAGTTGACTGTGTAAAGCCACATTAAACAACACAGAAATACGATAAATATGCCGAGTTCAGTGGCTAATCTGCAGGATTCAGCTGAGGTGATGTGACGGCGACCAGTGAGACCAAGCTGTCACTCAAGTGGCCACGCCCTTAATTATGCAAACTTAATATAACTGAATATAAAGGAAACGGATGAGTTATAAAAAAATTCACCCCCCTCACAGTTGTCATGAAGGGTAATATTAGCTGTATTAACCAAAATCTTTTTTTGTACCAGGCTGTAAACACCTTTTTTTCTGCTGTAAAGTTGGCCATTCTAACAGTGGGCTCAATTGAAATTTGCTCTATTTTGGAGCCAGGAGCGGCCAGGACTAGCGGAATTTCGGATGTATTACAGTTTTAGTTACTTCCGTATTGGCTTCCTGAGGGAGAGCGTGAGAAAGCCGCTTGGCTTTCCCTGCTAACATCTTCACCAGTCCTCCAAAAAAATAACTAATTTATTATATTCTGCACGTTTATGGCAAACGTGATGCGTATTCCATGTCGTTCGCCTATCGGACAGTAATCTGCCACTGTTCTTGCGCTTGCATTGACTTGTATGTAGATTACTCACAAAACTTCTTAACTCCACATTTGGTGTGAACCCCGCTTAAAAGTGTCATTATCGCCACCTGTTGGTTCGGCGTGCCCTTAACATGCATTCCAGTGCATTTTGGCGCTTTTCTCATGGACGGGATGTTTTTAAAAACATAAGTGTGGATAACTGCTTATAAAAACACCTGTGTATGTGTGGACATGGCCTCTGATCCTCAATAATGTATGTTTTAATATTCTAGAAAGATTGTGTTAAAAATGTTTGATTTAGCCCACAGGTGTCAAATCCAGTTCCTGGAGGGCCACAGTTTAGTTCCACTGTTGCTTCAACACACTTACCTGTAGGTTTCAAACAAAACTGAAAGACTTAGTTTGATCAGGTGTGTCTAATTAGGCTGGCTTGTCAAAGCCAGACTACTGAAATGCTTTTTAAACTTATTATTATTTTTCTTCTGAGACTAAGAATTAAACTCTATCTCCTCCTAGAGCTTTCCAGCTATGACCACCAAACTCACACCAGTTTTTAACTTTCTAGCCACACCCCTAACTACCACATACTGCACCCTAGCAACTCTCCTATAGGCTGTAATTAGCTATGCTAATAATTCTAACATGCTAATGACATGCCAATCATGCTAGCAACATGCTACTCATATGCTAATCATGCTAGCAACATGCTACTCATATGCTAATCATGCTAATGACATGCTAATTCATACTAGAAACATGCTAATTCATGCTAGAATCATGCTAAAACATGCTAATTCATACTAGAATAATGCTAGTAACATGCTAAGTCATACTAAAATCATGCTAGAAACATGCTAATGCATGCTAATTCATACTAGATTCATGCTAATAGCATGCTAGAATCATGCTAAAAACGTGCTAATTCATGCTAGAATCATGCTAATAACATGCTAATTCATACTAGAATCATGCTAGTAACATGCTAAGTCATACTAGAATAATGCTAGTAACATGCTAAGTCATACTAAAATCATGCTAGAAACATGCTAATGCATGCTAATTCATACTAGATTCATGCTAATATCATGCTAGAAACATGCTAATGCATGCTAATTCATACTAGATTCATGCTAATAGCATGCTAGAATCATGCTAAAAACGTGCTAATTCATGCTAGAATCATGCTAATAACATGCTAATTCATACTATAATCATGCTAGTAACATGCTAAGTCATACTAGAATAATGCTAGTAACATGCTAAGTCATACTAAAATCATGCTAGAAACATGCTAATGCATGCTAATTCATACTAGATTCATGCTAATAGCATGCTAGAATCATGCTAAAACGTGCTAATTCATGCTAGAATCATGCCAATAACATGCTAATTCATACTAGAATCATGCTAGTAACATGCTAAGTCATACTAGAATCATGCTAGTAACATGCTAAGTCATACTAGAATCTTGCTAGTAACATGCTAATTCATGCTAGAACCATGCTAATACCATGCTAATTCATACTAGAATAATGCTAGTAACATGCTAATTCATGCTAGAATCATGCTAGTAACATGCTAATTCATACTAGATTCATGCTAATATCATGTTAAGTCATACTGGAATCATGCTAGTGACATGCTAATTCATGCTAGAATCATGCTAATAACATGCTAATTCATGGTAGAATCATGCTAGTAACATGCTAATGCATGCTAGAATCATGCTAGTAACATGCTAATTCATACTAGAATCATGCTAACACCATGCTAATTCATACTGGAGTCATGCTAGTAACATGCTAATTTATACTAGAATCATGCTAATCACATGCTAATTCATGCTAAAATCATGCTAAAAGCATGCTAATTCATACTGGAATCATGCTAGTAACATGCTAATTCATGCTAGAATCATGCTAATAACATGTTAATTCATGGTAGAATCATGCTAATAGCATGCTAATTCCTACTGGAATCATGCTAGTAACATGCTAAATCATGCTAGAATCATGCTAATAACATGCTTATTTATACTAGAATCATGCTAATAACATGCTAATTCTTGTTGGAATCATGCTAGTAACATGCTAATTCATAACATGCTATTTATACTTTTTTAAACTGTTCTTAAACTAAAAAAAACTATTACCAACAGGCTTTGTCAAGCCAGCCTCAAAGTTTGTCTCGACGAACTTTACTGTCTAGTTAGAGTTGTAACTAAACTGTGCAGAGCTGCAGTGCTCCAGGAACTGAGTTTGACACCTGTGCTTTAGCCTAAAATAGGATTTTCTTTAGTAAACAGATGCCCACCTGTCTGAGTAATAGGAGTCGATGTAGTCGTGCGTCCTTTTTTTGTTCCTATAAAGAGAAGGCTGCAGTCAGTCAACAAATACACAAAATTGAGTTGATCAAAAGAGGGCTTGATTTTTTTTTTTACCTGAAAAAATTAGAAGCAAAAATTAGAAGCATATAAAATGATGGATAAAAACATGTCAAATAATCAGGTTTTCCTCAACAATAGTATATGAGGAGATATGATCAAAAAAAAAGTAGACTGCATGTGTTTAATCCTTGTGTACGGTTTAAATTTGCATTGACCCATTGATTTCCAGTGTAACCACATTTTTTGATTTCAAAGCCATGACACCATATAATCATGCATTCTTGCATGCTGGTGGTTTTCCCTGTTGGGGAGGTAAAATTAGTAATTTTTACTGTTGATCATCAGTTGGCAGCATTAAGCTTTTAGATAGGCCTGTGTTTCTGGTTTGTATAGGGAGTAAAACAGCAGATTATGATGTGCGTGCATAAATACACTTACTATGTTTTTATTTTCCTCAAACATGTCAAGGTAATTGTGCAAATGTCTCTCTCACACATTCACACATGACAGGAAAAACCACCAACAATCAAGAATACATAATAATATGGTGTCATGGCTGTGCAATCAAAGAATGTCATTATAATTGGAGAGAAAAATGGGGCAAAAACAGACACACAAGTTTATTGTTGAGTTTCTGAAAATCTTTACAAAGCATTTTTTCAAAATATCAAATGTCAAAATTTACCAACTACTGAAACAGTTATGGCCAAAATTACGCCTCAAAGTCACCCCAAAGTGGATGAAAACATCCCAAACAGCACACAAGAGGTAAATAATTCCAGTTCAAACTATATCTATACATAATTGCGAAATAATGCGTAACAGAGGCCAGCTAGCAAAGAGCTAAGCAGGTGAACTTCACTCATCTGACCTTAAAAGGTGCTCTAGTGATCGACTCTAGAGGCCAAGGTCTTTAGCCTCTTTGTTAGAGCAACCGACTCGCATACAAAGAATGCCGGTTCGATCCCAGCTCCGTGGACTTTGGAGGTACACGTGGGGGCTTTTCCAGGATGGGAGTGAGGTTTAGGGTGCTAAGTGTAATAGAGGCCAGCTAGCAAAGTGCTATGCAGGTAAACCTCACTCCTCTGACCTTAAAAGGTGCTCTAGCGACCGACTCTAGAGGCCATGGTCTGTAGCCTCTTTGTTAAAGCAACCGACTCGCATACAAAGAATCGCCAATTCGATCCCAGCTCAGACCAAATTGGGTGCAGTAGGACCGTGGAGTTACACATGGGGACTCATCCGGGATGGGAGTGAGGTTTAGGGGGGTGAGTGTAACAGAGGCCAGCTAGCGAAGTACTGTGCAGATAAACCTCACTCCTCTGACCTCAAAAGGCGCTCTAGCGAGTGACTCTACAAGCCATGGTCTTTACCCTCCATGTTAGAGCAACCAACTCTCAATCAAAGAATTGCCAATTTGATCAGGATCAGAGCAGGTTGGGTGCAGTAGGACATGCGAGTTAAAAATGTATTTGATAAATATTTAATAAAATCACATTTATTAACTAGATTTTTCAACACCTCTTGACAACACGCATCCATCAATAAACTTTAATAATGTTCTCCATAAACACCTACCAGTTTCAAAAGCCTCAACATGAAGCCGGTAATCCATCATTAACTTTTAAACATTCAAATCATGGGTGTGTTTTGCTCACCCCGGGGTCCACTCGTTGCCTTCGGGTGGGTGTGCCTGAGTAACCATGGCAACCGGCGTTGTGTGGGGCGTAAACGGGCTGCCGATGAGGATATTTCCAGAGTGAGAGACTCTCTGTGGTGTGCTTAAAATCTGCAGACACAAATAATACACAAAAAAAGCAAGCAGTTTAGGGAACTTATGCAAATCATAACCAAACAGTTTTGTGACAAGTCAAGACTTGTAGAAAGAGTCACTTGTGCAATATTGAGAAAGTTTATTGTGTTTTGGAAGTCAGCCCCTGCTGGCAGATCCTGTAACTGCATCATTACTATGAAACATCAAACTCTCTCTCTCTCTCTTATGCACTTCCAGCACACAACAACTGCCACTGAGATGGATGGGAAAGCGAACAGATCCTCCAGGTGCAGCACAACTCTTTTCATTGCGCTGTTATGCTCCACATGAGCACTGATGGTATATATGAGGGCATCCCGGTGTTCATTTCTCTCTCTCTTCTTCTCTGTTAACCTGAATCTCTCACAGAGAGCGTGTGCAGCAGCCCCCGGGGAGAGCCAAACCTCCTGCTGCAGCCCAGAACAGCACAGCAAGGACATCCTCATCCATCAGCGCTGCGCTACACACCATTGATCCTCCTCCTGGCCCTCTGGATTTATGCAGAAAGACGCTGTAGTGCTTCCACAGTACAATTTCAGCAGTGTGGCGTACGTGGTCTGGGCAATGTAGGTACATTTGGATCCTGGTACAAGGCAAATGACCAGGATCACCTATTTTTGACATACAGTGCACCCGGAAAGTGTTCATCGCGCTTCACTTTTTAAAAAAAAAATTATGTTACAGCCTTTTCTAAAAATTGATTAAATTCATTTATTTCCTAAGATTTTATGAAATTGTAGCACATTTACTAAAAATAAAAAAACATGTATAGAAGTACTTAAAGCCTTTGTCGTGAAGCTCTAAATTGAGCTCAGGTACAATCTGGCTGTGTCTCAAACCGCCTACTACTCAGTAGGTACTGAATTTGAATTTAAACGTACTACTTGGCCGTTAGAAAAGTACGTTCTATACAGTATGAATGTGAAAAGTATGAATGGAATTCGGACGTTTTGACATAGTCACGTGACAAACCTGCGTCATTTGCGCCGCTTGACTCCCATTCATGAATTCGCTCGCGGGGCATCATGGGATAGCGCAGCGTGAATGGGATGCGCACTCTGGAATCTCGCCGGAAGTAGTAAGTCATCCAGGTACTTCTCGCATACTGATTTTCAAATTCTATTAATTCAGACATACTACTCGGCTCGCATACTGATTTTCGCATACTGTATAGTATGGAAGTATGCGGTTTCGGACGCAGCTTCTGTTCCCACTGATCATTCTTGAGATGTTTCAGCAGCTTTATTGGAGTTCACCTGTGGTAAATTCAGTTGATTGGACATGATTTGAAAAAGCATACACCTGTCTATATAAGTTCACAGGGTTGACAGTGCATGTCAAAGCACAAACCAAGCATGAAGACAAAGGAATTGTCTGTAGACCTCTGAGACAGGATTGTCTCGAGGCACAAGGCTGGGGAAGGTTACAGAAAAATTTCTGCTGCTCTGAAAGCCAATGAGCACAGTGGCCTCCATCATCCATAACATCAACCCGATGGTCACTCTGTCTGAGCTCCAGCGTTCTTCTGTGGAGAGAGGAGAACCTTACAGAAGGACAACCATCTGTGCAGCAATCCACCAATCAGGGTTGTATGGTAGAGTGGCCAGACGGAAGCCACTCCCTGCCTGGAATATGCCAAGGCATCTAAAGAACTCTCAGACCATAAGAAACAAAATTCTCTGCTCTGATGAGACTAAAATTGAACTCTTTGGAGTGAATGCCAGGCGTTACGTTTGGAGACAAACAGGCACCGCTCATCACCAGGCTAATACCATCCCTACAGCGAAGCATGGTGGTGGCAGCATCATGCTGTGGGGATGTTTTTCAGTAGCAGGAACAGGAAGACTAGTCAGGATAGAGGGAAAGATGAATGCAGCAATGTACAGAGACATCCTGAATGAAAACCTGCTTCAGAGTGCTCTTGACCTCAGATTGAGGCGACGGTTCATCTTCCAGCAGGACAATGACCTAAAGCACACCGCGAAAATATCAATGGAGTGGCTTCCCAACAATTTAGTGAATGTCCTTAAGTGGCCCAGCCAGAGCCCAGACCTAAACCCTATTGAACATCTCTGGAGAGATCTGAAAATGGCTGTACACCGTAGCTTCCCATCCAACCTGATAGAACTTGAGAGTTACTGCAAAGAGGAAGACAGGTGTGCCAAGCTTGTGGCATCATATTCAATAAGACTTGAGGCTGTTATTGTTGCCAAAGGTGCATTAACAAAGTATCGAGCAAAGGCTGTAAATACTCTTTACATGTGATTTATCAGTTTTTTTTTTATTTTTAATAAATTAGCAACAATTTTAAACTGGTAAGTTTCAAAACTTATTTTTCTTTCACACACGTTTGGAACAAGTATAGGGTGAATAAAAGTAAAGTTTTAGGGGTGAACTACTCCTTTAATTGTTGTTTTTGTTGTTTTATGTTTATGTTATTTAATAACAGACTAAATTAATTGATATTTTAATTAAAGCTTTAGCAAATTTAGTATGTAACTTTTTTTTTTTTTTTTTACAAGAAATCAAGGCAAAATTTCCTTCAGGCTTATTTGGAGCATACAGCAAACATGTCTGCTTTATTTTGTGAATACGCATGCAGCATAAAGTGTGCAGTAAGCAGGAATCAATCTCCGCATCACTCTCACTGCGGTGTATGGTTCTCTGACACGCTGTTAAATGATACGCAGGTGACACTGAGTGTGCAGGATGTGATTGTGCCAGATCTGTTGAGCTGAAAAGGAACCAGTATATAAGCAACAAGCCACACATCTCTCTAACGAGGAGCGAGGGTCTTAACGAGGGTCTCAATGCCATCCACTCGTTAATAAACTCATTAGCGGAGGTGCTGGCAAACAGTGGCGTTCTGTTCTCCTCTAACTAAGCTGAAGAGGGCCTCTCGTCTCATGCAGTCCGCACCAACATGGGTATGTTCAATCTGCGGTTTGGCCATTCGTCCACATGAAAACGCTGTATCAGGTGACTGGAACTTTCTGAAAACTCCAACCAGGTGCTGCGTCCCAATTTACATACTAGAACTACTATGTTAAGCTGCTTTGACACAATGTACATTGTAAAAGCGCTACAGAAATAAAGATAAATTTAATTTAATACTATATGCCCTAAATAGTATTCGAAAACAGAATTATTATGTCCCAAACCGTAGTACGTTGAAATAAGTATGCACTGTAAAAAATGCTTCATGCTGTCCCAACACAAATAAATTAAGCTAATTTACAGATTTACGTGGATAGAACATAGAACAATTAAGGGGAAACTCAATACCTTTTAAGAACTTTTTAAAGGCTCTTTCCATACATGTTAAGACCTTACAACCACTTTAGGTTTCAACCGCAAACCCTGGCGAAATTTTAACTTGCAGTATATTTACCAGAGGTGGGAGTAAGTCACACATGTGCAAGTCACAAGCAAGTCTCGAGTCATAGCCTTCAAGTCTCACGCAAGTCAAGTCGAGTCACTGCTTTTCTCAAGTCAAGTCAAGTCGTAGCTTGGTCTAGCAAGTAACTTTCAAGCTAATCAAATTTTTGTCGATTGTTTTTTTTTTTTTACTTTTGCAACTTCTTTTGCTATTTATATTTAACTAAATAACTTTCGATTTTGTATGTACTGCATAATATATAACAAACGGTTAGTTATTTAACAAAAACAAGTTATTTCGAGTCATTTAACTCAAGTCCAAGTAAGTCTCTCAAGTCATGACAGTCAAGTCCAAGTCAGGTCGAGTCTTTTTTGGATATTTGTCAAGCAAGTCTCAAGTCCTAAATTTTGCGACTCAAGTCTGATTTAAGTAAAGACAATCATTTAATTTAAAATAATGAAAACAGTAAATAGCTTATGTCGATCATGCCTGAAATATGTTGTCATATGTATGCGCTATTAAAATAGTTGGGTTAAAATTACTCCAACATATAACCCAACTTTAGGTTTTTATAGCACCTTCCCAACTATGGGTTATTTTAACCCAATGCATTGGGTTATTTTGATTAAATGTTAACTTTTTCCCATTCTAGTATCACTATTGCTACTATTACTAGTACTACTATTCATTTTGAGACTGTGTAAATAAATAAAATACAGTTTTTTAAAATATTGAAAATGCTTTATATCCATTACATTTTAGTTCCAGACACTTTTGTTATAATAAATCAAGAATCACAAACAATGGAGAAAAAACAGTTTGAAAGCAGAAAATCCTGTGTTGATGAAGCAGAATATGGAGCTCTGTGTGCTGTAGAGACTGTCCAGCAGCTGCAGCAGGCTCCACTCAGTGTCCACAGTGTACAATAAATTTTAACCACATCCAAACGCTTCTAAAAGACGGTCTTGGATGGTGAAACGGATATAAACATGGCAAGACAATTTGATAAATAATAACAATCTTATTGTGTTATAGCTTAAATAAACTTTAAAATGCAAAAAATCAGTTGACTGTTGAAATTTAAATTTTTAACCCAACTGGTTGGGTTATTAAATAAATAACCAAATAAAGGTTAAAAATAACCCAGCAAAGCACCAAATATTTAACTCAACTGGTTGAGTTATCGATAAATAACCTAATAAAGGTTAAAAATAACCCAACAAAGCACCAAATGTTTAACTCAACTGGTTATCAATAAATAATCTAACAAAGGTTAAAAATAACCCAACAAAGCACCAAATGTTTAACTCAACTGGTTATCAATAAATAATCTAACAAAGGTTAAAAATAACCCAACAAAACACCAAATATTTACCTCAACTGGTTGAGTTATCAATAAATAACCTAACAAAGGTTAAAAATAACCCAACAAAAGACCAAATATTTAACTCAACTGGTTGAGTTATCAATAAATAACCTAACAAAGGTTAAAAATAACCCAACAAAGCACCAAATATTTAACTCAACTGGTTGAGTTATCAATAAATAACCAAATAAAGGTTAAAAATAACCCAACAAAGCACCAAATATTTAACTCAACTGGTTGAGTTATCAATAAATAACCTAACAAAGGTTAAAAATAACCCAACAAAACACCAAATATTTACCTCAACTGGTTGAGTTATCAATAAATAACCTAACAAAGGTTAAAAATAACCCAACAAAACACCAAATATTTACCTCAACTGGTTGAGCTATCAATAAATAATCTAACAAAGGTTAAAAATAACCCAACAAAGCACCAAATATTTACCTCAACTGGTTGAGTTATCAATAAATAACCTAACAAAGGTTAAAATAACCCAACAAAAGACCAAATATTTACCTCAACTGGTTGAGTTATCAATAAATAACCTAACAAAGGTTAAAAATAACCCAACAAAAGACCAAATATTTACCTCAACTGGTTGAGTTATCAATAAATAACCTAACAAAGGTTAAAAATAACCCAACAAAGCACCAAATATTTACCTCAACTGGTTGAGTTATCAATAAATAACCTAACAAAGGTTAAAAATAACCCAACAAAACACCAAATATTTACCTCAACTGGTTGAGTTATCAATAAATAACCAAATAAAGGTTAAAAATAACCCAACAAAACACCAAATATTTAACTCAACTGGTTGAGTTATCAATAAATAACCAAATAAAGGTTAAAAATAACCCAACAAAGCACCAAATATTTACCTCAACTGGTTGAGTTATCAATAAATAACCTAACAAAGGTTAAAAATAACCCAACAAAACACCAAATATTTACCTCAACTGGTTGAGTTATCAATAAATAACCAAATAAAGGTTAAAAATAACCCAACAAAACACCAAATATTTAACTCAACTGGTTGAGTTATCAATAAATAACCAAATAAAGGTTAAAAATAACCCAACAAAACACCAAATATTTAACTCAACTGGTTGAGTTATCAATAAATAACCTAACAAAGGTTAAAAATAACCCAACAAAAGACCAAATATTTACCTCAACTGGTTGAGTTATCAATAAATAACCTAACAAAGGTTAAAATAACCCAACAAAAGACCAAATATTTACCTCAACTGGTTGAGTTATCAATAAATAACCTAACAAAGGTTGAAAATAACCCAATAAAACACCAAATATTTACCTCAACTGGTTGAGTTATCAATAAATAACCTAACAAAGGTTAAAAATAACCCAACAAAACACCTAATATTTAACTCAACTGGTTATCAATAAATATCCTAACAAAGGTTAAAAATAACCCAACACATATCCTAACCAAATATGTATAACTCCACCATTGGGTTAAATAAATAAGTGTGAATGTTTATTGTGAGTGTGAATATTAATATTCTAAATGTAGAATTTACATGTAACTCATTGGAAATGGTTGTATTGCATCTTGTATATATATATTTTAAACATTGACTCATAGTATTTGCATTTCCTGCGATGGATGTCAACAGTTTCCAGACAGTTTTATTCTTTCAGGAACCACTCGAGGAAGAGTAAATAGGGCGAACGGTGTCTTTAAAGTTTGACCATCACCTCTGAACTCATCAACCTTCCCTCCCTGGCAGCAGAGTTCTTCTCCCTTTAAACTCCCGCGTGTGATTGCATCTTATCAGCATTTCACTCTTTTGCTCAGCCACACAAACACCCTCCTCTTTCCAGACTCTTCAGTGATCTACTGTCTACTGCACACACTCACTGCCATCAGTAAATCACTCTTTTTCAAGGACATCACCGCCCACTAGTGGCTACTGCAAGAATTACAGGACAAATCTTCAGATGAGATGGACACGTATAGTATGAGAACTGTACGTTACTAACAATGAGCAATACATTAGTTACAGAATATGATGGAAATTAATACGTGGACAAGCATAAGCGAAATGGTATAAATCAATCATGTAATTGAATACTGAACTGCTTGATTTATATGCTGTTTTGTTTGTTTTTTAATAAATATTATATTTTTACACACTTTATTTTGAGTGAACAGAATTTAAATGATCAGGTAGAAATGCCTCAGATTATATTTACCATGAGTTATAATATACAGTATACTAGTGCTCATCATAAATGAGTATACACCCTTTTAAAAATGAATATTTAATAAATTTAATTCAACTCAGTATGTATATTTGGTGTATTTAAACAAAACAGTTTTATTAAACAGATATACATAAATATACACACATTTCAGCAAGATAATTTGACAAAACAGCCAAGGAAACTTCAAATGCAATTCCGTGTTAAAATACCCTAGACTTTGCCTCAATAAACTCCTTAATTTGCAGCTTATTAATAGTTAATGAGGTAGTAGTTCGTTTAGATATTGGGTAGATTTAGAGGTGTAGAATAAGATCATAAACAGTTGAAGTCAGAATTATTCGCCCCCCTGTTTATTTTGTCCCCCAATTTCTGTTTAACAGAGATTTTTTTCAACACATTTCTAAAACTAATAGTTCTAATAACTCTTTTAATAACTTCTAATAACTGATTTATTTTATCTTAACGACAGTTTGTTCTGTAGACTATCAATAAACGAATTAGCTTAAAGGGGCTAATAATTTTGTCCCTAAAATGGGTTTTAAAAAATGTAAAACTGCTTTTATTCTAGCCAAAATAAAACAAATAAGACCTTCTCCAGAAGAAAAAATATTATCAGGCATACTGTGAAAATCTCTTTGCTCTGTTAAACATCATTTGGGAAATATTATAAAAATAAAAAACAATTCAAAGGGGGTCTAATAATTCTGACTTCAACTATGTACTTTAAAAGTACTAATAAACAACAAATATCTTAAAAACACACAGGCAATAAGCCACTATTTAATAGTCAGAATTGATGTTTAAAGTGATTTAAAGATCTGAACACTTGTTTGTACACTTCAAACATAAAAAAATACTGATTTATAGTAAATACTATAGTGTTTTTGAACCAGACTGTGGTAAAGTCTATTAAACCGTACATGTTACAGTATTTACAATGCTTTTTCATAATGAATGATGGATTATTTACAGATATAACTGATTTACTGAAATAAATACTACAGCTTTATTACAGTAAACTGTGGTGAATTAGTATAAAACACCCTGTGATTGTAGAAAACTACAGTATTGGCTCATTTGTTTATGTTGCTATAGTTGTGTTTCTAGAGTAATTATAGAAATGCCACATGAGATTAATTAAAGTACGTTACTACACACAAAAAGGATTCATTAGATTTACTACATTTTTTAGGTTATTCATATAGGCTGTAAACAAACAAAATAAGTTGAATATTACTAAATTTACTAAAGTGTTACCCTATTTTTCACTGCACTCACCAGATTTAGTAAGTTTTACTTCTTAAACTTGCCCCGAAGCATTTAAACCATTTGAAAACAAACAAAAAGCTCATGAAATGAATGCTAAACATGATGAATCTGCAAATGTTTTGATGAATGTATATTTTTTGCTTGCTTTGAGACCCATTTGACTCAATCTGGAGTCTGCTGGTCTTATTTTAATCTGTGCGGATTATGAAATGCTTGTTGACATGTATTTAATGACTTGTGTTGTTTGTGTACGGGTGTGATGTGACACTCACCATCTGGGCTCCCACATTTGAATTGACCGTTCCTAGTGTGATCTTGTTGGCTGGGCTGTAGCTGGACGGCGTTAACAGGGAAATGTTGCCTGCAAACATAAACACGGTCAAGCCAATGCTCACAGATAAACGCAGAAAGCTTACAATTTTATATAAATATATATTAAAGCATATTAATACATTCTACACTTTCAAACAAAACCACTTACGGGGGTCTGGTGCAATGCTAGCCCTTTAAATCTTAAAGCGAAAGTCGATGACTTCACCGCAGAGTTTAACTGGTTTTAATGTAGACATTTAAAAAAAATGTTACTTAATTTTTTGACCTCGGAAATCACGTTTCTAGCTAAAGATGCAGGACATGTTGGAAAAGCTGGTAAGTGTATAGTATTGAAACTGTACGTCCCAACCTCCCTGAAAATCACCATCCAAAGCCACACCTTGTGAAAGCATGAACGCAGACAGACCAGACGAACAGACAACCTTTCGACAATATATCATGTGTCAGTCACCAGTGAGAAAACTGCTAGTACAGTTAATAACAGTACTAGAATAACACACAATGCCTGTTATTCTGGCTATATCTGCACAGTGTACCTGAACATTCAGACTGAATATTCAGATTGACAACCATTTCTTGGTTTGGACAATCACCTATTGCTCATTAAAATATGTAAAGCCTATCGTTTTAATGAACTACAGAAGTTGGGATCATAAACTGTCTTTTATGTCAGCAGAACAAGAAAGGATAAATGATTTTTGGGGTAAACTACCCCTATAAAGCAATCTGATGATGATGATAATGCTGGTAACAATAATAAACTGATTAATTCTCCTCATATTAATCACTCACTACTTAACATGAGATTCCCAGTGCTGGGTTGCGGCTGGAAGGGCATCCGCTGTGTAAAACATATGCCAGAGTACTGTAGTTGGTGGTTCATTCCTCTGTGGCGGCCGTTGATAAATCAGGGACAAAGCCGAAAGAATGAGCATGGACGCATAAAAGGAGGAGTAATGATAGAGAAGGATAAGTGTACCAGTCCTGGGATATATTTTTGGTCCATGAACGGCTGCCATCGCATGTTTTTTTTGTGTTTATTTCTTTATTATAGCTAGTAAAACATTATATAAAAATGTAACATACTTATTCTCTTAAACTATAAGGTTTTACCCTCATTACACTTGCGTTTACTCAAAATATGTTAAAGACTATGAAAAGACTATTTAAAATATGTTAAATTAGGGACGCACCGAATTTTTGGCTGCCAAAAATTCAAAACTTCAGCAAATAAACACATTTTAAAAATGGCAATTTTAGTTTATGGCCAAAAGGGAAATATGACCCAAAATATGAGTCCAAGAAAAAGGTTACGCTGTGCCACACTTCATTCAGTGCACTGGTTATACTCTTTCCAACTAGTATCCCTGCGCAGAATGAAGTTTCTTTCACATAAGATGCAGAAAGCACTGCGCTATGAAACCCATAGATTTCACTGCCCCGTCGACCAAAATGCAAGAGCGGCAGGGCAATGAAAGATCAAAAAGAGATTTTTAATTAATTAATTATTAATTATTAAACACACACACACACATACACACAAACAACGTGCAAAGACCCTCTTTGCATAGACATTGGATAATTGGGATTAATGTGTACCTGGGCTTCCCAGTCTTTGAGGAGGAAGGTGACGGTCTTTCTCTGAGGTTGTAAATTCATAAATGACATAGCTTGGGATTTATTATTAGTCTTTTATGCATCTAATTATGATTACTAGTTTTGATTTCGCATTATAAGTCTTTCATTATTTTATTGTATTACATTAACGATGCTCATGATTATCACTTATGATTATTTTCTGATGATTGATATCACACAGAACAGGAACGAATTGTTCTAGCGTGTTTGACTGTGTCTGTACACTAATGTAGACATTTAAAATAACAAATATAAACTAATAAGCAAAGCATGAATGATGAACGAATGTTTCTTTAGTTTACCAAGCGATCAACTTAAGATAATTAAAGTATCAATTAAGATAAATAAATAATTTAGACTTGTTTTTGGCATGTGATTTGCTCCACCTTTATATGGGTTTCTGGCATGAATAGGCAGAGTGATCTGTGTCGTTATAAAAGCCTTGACAAATGGCGTTGGTAAAAAAGCTGCACAACCAACAGGAACCAATCAACAGTATCTGAGGTTTTTGCTAAAATTACAAGCATGAAAGAGAAAGATTGAGGCAGTGTATTGAATCTGTGACACGTTACCTGATAGATTAAAACGACTGAAGAGTCGTTAGATAGAGACCATATTAATTAAATATCATGTTTAACAATCATAGTGACATGTGATTCAGCGGTAAATCCTCGATAAACTGTCCGACGTGCACTGCTTTCTGAGAGCTCAGACGTGCGCATATGCTGCAGCGCATGCCTATTTGTGTGTGTGGTCACGTGATTTCCATTTTTAGCGGTATAGTGTGGACGGGGATTGCTTTCGTTCTAAAATGGCATTATAAAACTAAGACGTATTAGTGTAAACAGGGTCGTGTGTGTTATTAGCGAGCGGGTTGCTGCTTCGACTGGGTTGGGGTGGAGGATCGCGATGCCGGCTCAGCATCTTGGGGCTCTATTTTGACGGTCAATGTGCAAAACGCAGGGCGCAAACGCTTTTAGGGCGCGTCAGGACACGTTTTTGCTAATTTAAGGATGGGAAATCTGTCTTGCGCCAAGGCGCATGTTCTAAAAGGGTTGAGTTTATTGTCTTAATGAGTTATAGGTGTGTTTTGAGAATAAACCAATTAGAGTCTCATCTCCCATTCCCTTTAAGAGCCAGCTGCGTCGCGCCAAGAGCGCATTCGCTATTTACTGGACGCAAAGTAAGTCTAAGTGGAAAAAATGAGCATTTCACAAGTTAACAGTTGAAATAATTAATTTCGTTTAAGCGCAAAGATTTGTTTCAAAACTATTTCTAAATTCAGTTCTAATTTCCAGCAAACGAATAAATGAACAATAATAACAAAATGTGCTCAAAAACCTGAGTTATATCCTAATACACATGCTGTGCCCCATATGGTCTAAAACCTGACAGGTGGACCAATCTAAGCTTGTTTTTAATAAAAAATATATAAATATGGATATATTTAATAATACTGCTAATAACAATAACATTATACAAAAGCAAATTGTTATGAATGAACTAAAAAAGCCTCCCGAGATGAAGAAGACATAAAAGCAGTGATTTTTCATATTTATGTAGGCTAGAAAATAATATGTTTTGTAATATTTTAATCCTTTATATTTATATTCTATATCTATTCTTATTATATCCTATATATATCCTTAATATTTACATTTTTTCATATGTAAAGATATTTGCCTATTGCTCTCTTGTGTGTATTAAGCAGTGTGTAAGCGAGGCGCAACTCTGCGGCGGAGTTTAGACCGGGTTAGTTTGGGTCTAATGAAAAATCTATTATAGTTTCTCAAAATAGCAACGCGCCAGCAATGCGCTTCAGAACACCTTCCTTTTTAGACTAAAACGCCAATGGGCGCACAAATGAGCGCTAATGCATTTGCTATTTAAACAGCGTAGCGCAACGCCTCAAAACAACTCTTGCGCCAAGCTGAAACTACCAAAAGACTACTGCGCCACGTCTTGCGCCACACTGCGCCGGGTGTATGATAGGGCCCTTGATGTCTATTGGTCATCAGCTAACCCAACCCTATTACATATAAAATAATTAATAAATAAATAAATGATTGAAAATAAAGATATCACTGCAACATCAGCCAGTGTCACTGTGAAATGTCTCTAATACATTGATTTTACCTCATTTATGTGGATTACACTTCATTTTAAAGTGCAATTCTTGCTATTAACAAATCAGCAGCTCAATAAACTCCTAAAAATTAATAGTCATTAAGTTTCTATTTATTTTTAGATATTGGGATGTAGAATAAGATCAGGCTGAAGAGAAGTACAAATAAACAGCCAACATCTTAATAACAGGCAGCAAACAAACCACTAGTTAACAGTGTTACCTTTATTTTATAGTAATCTCTTTTTTCCACTCCAACACAACCTCATCAGTACATCAGCAGAGCTTTTTATCCATGAATATTCTTTGTGGAGCTCAGGAAGTGACTGTTGTGTGGGCGAGGGAAGGTTACAGTATGATGATCAATGCCAAGATACTTCAGCATGAGATCCTTAATGCTTTCTTTGAATTCCTTTAAACGGAGATGCAAATCACATAAAGGTTGTGGCGTATCTGATGCAAAAGCATGCAAATGGGCCTTGCAAATCACGCAATAGAGTAAACACACCCAGCACTGTATGAATGAGCAGCACATGCCAACAACTCCCACTCTGTGCATGTCTGAGTCCTACGCACACACTCCAACAGACTCCAGCATGAACTTTCAAAATCTTCTAAAAGTGTGTGTTACAGATCTCACAGTGTGTCTTTGTCTGCAGTTGCAGTTGTACTATGTTTACTACACCCTATTGAGATTATACCTCAGCTATTTTATTACTTTTATAAGTGAAAACATCAGATATGTTGATGATTTAATGAAGGAAATGAATTATTGCCTCTCTGACAGCATGCTGCCGACTTCATATCAAGGTAAAGCACATATTATAACTGTTTGTTAGATGCCATGAGACTGTTTACTGTGTGACACACATACCTTTCAGTTTTACTTAAATCTGATGAATGAATTATTCACCAGATCACTCATTAATGATAGCAACTTGCTGCCACATATTTTTCGTTATTATTTATCCATTACAGACCTGTTTAATTATCGTTATTAGAGACCAAATATCTTAGTTTTATTGTTACTATAGGACATATTTTGCTTCCTTATATATATATATATATATATATATATATATATGTATATGTGTGTATATGTGTGTGTATATGTATATATATATATATATATATATATATATATATATATATATGTGTGTATATATATTATATATATATATGTATATATATATATATGTGTGTCGCAAATTACGTGACATCACCCAGACGGAGAAGTTTGGCCAGAAACGCCCCAGCCCCAACCA